TATTAAATGGATATGAAGGTAATGAGAAATATTTTTTTAAAAGGAGTGAAAAAGGTAGAAAAAGGTAGAAAAAAGGATAGAACAAGAGGCGGATCTGTAAAGGGAGGAATAGATATAATGTCACTTAAGGAGGCAAATAAAATACTTAAACTTGAGGATAACCTGAAGAAGAATTCTAAAAATGCAAGTTTAAGGAACATATATATTGAAGAGGAAAAAGAGAAATCATTTGGACCTGTAACGAATGAATTAAAAAATATTGTAAATGCAGTTAATGAAGTTAAAGAAATAAATATTAAAACTGATGAAGATATTCACAAAATGCTAGTACCCTTAAGGCGCCCTGAAATGTTAAGGTTGCCAGATCCAATTAAACCAACTTTAGGTCCTTTAGAAATAAAAACACCAATGAATGATCCGCAGTTAATGGACACACCTAAACGACCTCCAATGAGTGGAACACCAAAATCTCCTATGCCTAAGGATGCAATAATACTGGGTGAAAACGCAAACAAATATTTATCTGATTTAGACAAAAATAATCAGTTTGGAATATATTATAATGCAGATACTGAACAACATATGATCGGAAAATATCCAATAATTTTTGATTTTGATGATATAATTTTAAATGGAAAAAAACGTATAATGGCTCCAGGTATGTGGAGATTATTATCTCATAAAGATCTTACAAAACCAGGTTTTTATACAACAGAAGATTTTGAAAATTATGAAAAAATATTAATTGAAACAGATTCAATATACCAAAATAATGACTCAACTAAGACAAACAAACCTAAATCAAGTTCAAGTATTAAATATAATGAGATGATTAAACCAATTTGGCAAAAAATAAGACCAGCGACACCGACATCACCAAAAAAAAATTAAAGAAAAAGAAGGAGAAGGTTTAATAAAATATACAGAAGGAGAACATAATGATTATAAATATATGCATAATTTAAAAGAATTATTAAAAAGATTATATTTTATTGCTAGTGAGGAAAAAGCAGGTCATGATAATTTTTATAATGAAAAGATTAATATTATAAATTATTTTAGTTCTAAGTTGGCAGGACTAGCTATGACTCCGCAAAGAATTGAGTATTTAATATCTTATATATCAAGTTTGCCTGAGAGAGTTGTTGAAGGATCAGGTCTTATGAATGATCTTTTAAATAGTAAGTTTATGCCAGAAATACATTGGCCTGGTTATAATTATCTTGGTCCTTTTACCGATTTAGAAAAAAATAAAAAACCTGTAAATAAACTAGATATGGCAGCAATGGAACATGATTATTTTTATAAAGAACATAAAGATATTAAAACAAGACATATTGGAGATAACATTTTGGAAGATAAAGCATGGAAAAGGTTTACAGCCCCAGATTCATATATAGGTGAAAAAACAGCTGCCTTTGTCACCACAAATGCGATGAAAGCAAAAAGGTATTTTGGTATGAATTTAAATTGATTTATTGAATTTTAATTCTATTAAATGAATTTAGATTTGAGTGATTCTCAAATAAAAAAGCTTGTAAAAGCTTATAAAAACAAAATTGATGTAGTTATTCAATTAAAGCATATACAGATTGGTAATGTAAAAAACAAATTTAATTTAACTGATAGACAAAATAATAAGTTAACTAAAGCTAAGAAAGACAAAAAAGGTGTGAGATTAAAATTTACAAAATCTCAATTTGGAAATAAAGATAAATTAGGTGGTTTTTTACCTCTTATTATAGCAGGTATAGGTGCCCTTAGTGCATTGGCCGGAGGCGCTAGTGCTATTGCAAATACTGTTATTGATGCAAAAGATAAGAAATTAAAACGAGATGAGACAGAAAGACATAATAAAATGATGGAAGAAAATGTTAGAAATATTAAGACTTTACAGATTGGTTCAAGTCTAAAAAAAAACAAAAAAAAGAACAAAAAGAGATAGAAATAAAACCATTAACTAATTTTGATATTATTAATGCAGCAAAAAATATTAAGAATTTTAGAGGTTGTTTTATGAAAGATAAGTTACCGGCAGAGCCTTGGAAAAATTAATGTGGAATATTAAATTTAAATAATTCTAATCAACCTGGTTCACATTGGGTTGCATGGTTAAAAAATGGTAATAAAAAAATATATTTTGACTCTTATGGTCGTTCACCTCCAGTTAAAGCGATTGTAAATTATTTAGGAAAAGATGATTTATATTACACTACTGATCAATTACAAACCTATACTGATCCACCTATATGGGGTCATTTATGTTTAGATTTTATTAAGAATTTTGATTTAAATTATGAATTAAGTTTAAAACTAAAAAAACTATGAATTAAATTTGTATATAATAATATTGGTTATGTATATTTATGTTTAAAATGTAAAAAAAAAAATACATGAGTATAACTGAATTTAGTAAAAACCAAAAATGGTATAGAAGTTGTAATATGTGGTAAAGTAATGCATTTAAGATTCCATAAGAAACATTTATCAACTAAATTTCACTCAGAAAGGTAGTATAAAATGAGTAAAGAAAACATTCCTATATTAATATAATTTATAAATATTTTATTACATTTTTTTCCTTATAAATGGAGAATATATTTGCAAAATATGACCATGCAATTATCCGTGAAGAGGATAAGAAATTTTTCCCTATATCAACATCAAAACTTAATTTACATAATCAATTTACTACTTTTAATATAAATGAGGAAAATAGTTTTTTAAGAGTTAATGAGGCAAAATTTCAAATTTCTGGTCAAGTTTAACAGGCTGATGGTACTAGCTATCCTGAAGGTTCAAATGTAATATTAGTTGATAATTTTCCTGGATTTTTGTTTGACTCAATTTGTGTTAAAAAACATGGTAAATATTTAAATAGAATTGATAATGTTGGTAGATGTAGTTTAATTAAAGGTACGGTTAGTTATTCTGCAGACCTAAGCGGACCAACAATAAGTTGTGGATTTCAATCAAAATTTAGTGGTGGTGGATTTTTTAGTGCATTTGGTAAATTATCTAATTTGTGTTTAGGATTTTTTAAAGATATAGTAGATCCAGTATATAAAGGAGGTTTTGAAATAGATTTTTTAAGAGGTTCTGATGATGATGCTTTATTTAGAGACAAAAATGATAAAGGAGAATTAGCTGGAGCTGGAAAAATTGTTATTGATAAATTACTTATTATTATACCAATTGTGACGTATGCTGATGCGAGTAGATTTAAATTGATAAATGAATTATCTATATTGTCCAAGAGAAATGAATATATATTTAGCTTCAAATCATGGCAGTGTATGAAAGAAACAGTTATTAACACTGATTTAACACTAAACAAAGATATAACAAATTTGTATAGACGTATTCTTAATCCTTTATTTGTTATCGTAGCTTTTCAAACAGGTAGATTAAATTACCAATTGACAGATCCAATAGAGTTTAATCATTGTAATTTGAAAAATATTTGGTTGGATATTGATGGTATGAGATATCCAGATCAACTATTAAATTTAGATTTTAAAAAAGGAGAATTTTATGAGGCGTATCATATGTTAATGAATTATAGGAAAGTTTATAACAGATTACATAGAGATTTATCTTTAGTGTATATAACTCCAGAACAATTTAAAAGTACCAGACCATTTTTTGTAATAAATATGAGTAGGCAACCATCACAGATTTCTCCTAAAGCAAGTATTATTTTACATGCAGATTTCAATTAGGGTGTACCTGCTAATACCATTTGCTATATTTGTTTAGTATCTGGTACAGAACTTTTCTATGATCTTGCCAATAATACAATTAGAGAAAATATATAAAATATATATATCATAAATAAATGGATTATTGCAAAAATTGTAAATCTCGGTATATTTTTACTTTACCGGACACCTTTTTTTTTGCAATTTTTGTAATTGAAATATATGTAGGTAAGTACGCTTGTAGTAAGCCAGTTACTACGGAGTAATACCAATTTCATAAGTACATAGTTATTATTATAATATACGATGAATTGGGATTCAGAATTAGGCGTAGTAACATTTGACAGTAATAATAAAATCAGATTCCACAGGTGCATAAATATTATAATAAACGGTAGACCGGCATAGTCGGGTATTAAGAAGGAAATGGGTCCTTCAAACCTATGGAGATCAGGCTCACTGAATAACTCATGACGAGAGGGCTAAAATAGTCATTCGTCATTTTTGACAGAAATACTGGACGCATACGATGAATTTAAAATATTAAAGAGTAAAATGACTAAACACAAGTTAGTAATACATTCAATCGGATAAATATTCAATCGTCAATGCGTGGGCTAGAATGATGACTATACGAGTGACATCCGTGAGAACGGAGATATCGCATATGTAGGCAAGGGGTACGGGGAACCTCATATATAAGGGAGCCCGAATCGGCCTGTATTCAGACGTGTATTACCACCCATTAGTGCAAGCACCTTCACGCCACTCTGTAGAATATTATTTGGACTTAGAAAAATTATCGAACATTATAATAAAAATTCACAATACATTACATCTGTCTTATCATTCATTGTCTACCACGACTACAACATCAAATAAAGTGTCTGCGACCTGCAATTATAATAACTTGGTTGCCACTTATCTACTGTCAGTACTACGATAGTAGGTACCAAGCATCCAGGCTTATTACACGCTGAAAACGATGGTGAAGTCAGAATTTGGGGCTCGGCCTTAGTTTCGAAGTTATCGGCGAATGAAGTTCGCTATTTTAAGTTCACTGTGCCTATCATGAAGATTGATGCTAGAACAGCATCACTACCCATACTACGTGGGGTCGACGATCGCCCACCTTGTCGTGGTGACCCCGCCCGACCGGGCTTATGCCCGGCGCTAAGAGGCGTTCAAAAACTGTACGGAGCAGGCCGTCTCCGGACTTCTAACCCCTGGCACGGATAATGCAACCACCGAACTAGCCCTCTACTAGCTACTCGGGGCAGCCCCCTAACACTAACAAACATGAAAACACAAACTAAAAAAGATGATGGTACCGGCACAGAGGCCCAGGAAACCTCAGGCCCGGCAGGTGTGGGTGAGCTCGCCACACAGGTCGTGATCAGTAGCTCTGGTTATGCGAAAATGAATATGGAACGGCTAAATAGGATTATGAAGACAACGGATAGTGTACTAAGACTCAGAGGAGGAGGAGACTCCGAATTTGATGATGGCACAAATGCTAGTACAAGTGGTGCGATGGCAGTCGATCAAGGGACTATTAACCAGCCAGCAAAGGCGAAATCGGCTAGTGTCGATAACGTGGCTTTGCTAAAGAAGTTGAATAACCACATTGAGTTTATAGAGCAGACGGTCATAAATGAAAGGACCAAGAAACTGACTGCCGGGGCTGCAGACGGCATAAGCGCCAGGCTTAAGAATATTAGAGATATCCATACGGAACTCTGCATGGAGAACAGCCGCCTCCAAGGCGTTACGCAGTTCAGTGCCGCGGAACTTAAGGGTTTGCTGGACACGTTCTCCAGAGCGCAAAAAGAAAAAAGTAAGGAGATAGAGGAACTCCGCCTCGAAAACCTCGTGCTCAAAGAAAGTTTGGAAGAGCTAGCCAACAACTACGGACCCAAAAAGGTAACTTATGCCGATGCGAAAAGCAGCGCAATTAAAAGCGTTTTCAGCGCAGAAGAGGCGCCGGGACCCGCTGCTCCGCTAACAACGGCGAAGGGTAACAACAGAGAAAAGCCCAAGACCAAGGCTTCTAAGAGAAAGTCACTCGATAAGTGACGCCAGTCGGCGGTGAAGACTAGATTCGTGGTCGATGTGCCTGAAAATATGACGGTAACCCAAATGAAGTCTGATCTATGGAAGACAGTGCAAAAGAAATTGCCAAATCCGAGGGCCAAAACCATAGTTCAGGGTAAGACGATTATCGTCGTCCCGGATGATAAAACTACGTTCGAGGTGTTAAACAGGGTTCCGAACATCAGGTCTGTTGGGCCCAGGCAGCCCAGAATAATAGTTTATGATGTCGATGACGACATCAGTGGCGAAAAAATAGCCCACGGAATAATGGAACAAAATCCAGAGCTGGAACTATCAGAGGACGATGTCGAGTGCTTGGTCGTAAGCCATAAGACGGGCCCGAGGGGAAAAGGCAGCTCCCACTGGGTACTTGAGACGCCGCCGTGCGTCCTCAAGAAACTAGAAAATAGGTCGGTCTTCCTCGGAATGACCAGGTGCAGGGTCAAGTTGTATCAAAGTACAGTGCAATGTTTTAAATGCCAGAGGTACGGACACACCGCGACGAGGTGTAATCAGGCTGAGTCCACCTGTAAGCACTGTGCTGGTCCGCACGACAGCCGCGAATGCAGCGACAAGATGAATAAAAAATGCACAAACTGTAAGCTTGCACACCAGGCATCTAGCTCGGCGTGCAAGGCCAAAGAACAGGCACTTAGAAGCCTATTAAGGCGCACGAACTTTGGCTCGCAATGACCGAGTCCATAAGGTTCGCGCAGCACAACTTAAACAGGCAGAGGACAGCTAGCTTGCAACTTAGGGACTACTGTGCAGCAAGCACCATTGATATTGTGCTCGTTCAAGAGCCGGTAACGCATGAAGGAAAAATCTACGGCTTCGAAAACTGTAGGCAAGTGCTCGTGGGAGACCAAGCCGGAGCAGCGGTAATCTTACTGAGCAAAGACATACAGGCCATCGAGTTGGCGGACATATCGAGCCAGCACGTGGTGGTGGTGAAGATAAGCCGTGGACTGCAGGCCGAGGCAATCACGGTGGTGTCGGCATACTTTAAATACAACGTGCCGACACAACACTTCACAGAAAAGTTGCGAACGGTATTAACGAGCGAGGCACGTACCCTCATTAGGGCAGATGTCAACGGGCACTCCCAGATGTGGCACTGTCCGACTGGTAACAACAGGGGACTCCAGACAGAGGAGCTCATAGAGGACTTTGACCTTTCGGTGGCGAATAGGCCCGGACAGATAAATACTTACGCACGTGAAGGCATGGGTGCGTCGAATATAGATATTACGTTGCTCACACCTCAGGTCCGCGATATGGTCAGCGATTGGACGGTCAGCGACGAGACAGACAGCGATCATAATGTAATTACATACAAACTTAGTCTCCACCAGAGAACGCAACAAGACATGATACCATGCCGTTTCGACATGCGTAAGGCGGACTGGTGTGGATTCGCACACAATTTGAGCAGACTAAAGATGACCGTGGATGGGTCAACAATAGAGACACAGGCCCGCACCATTATAAATGCAATCCGCAGGGCGGCGGTAGCGTCAATACCGCAGATTAGAAAACCGGGCGGCCGAGTGGGCAGACAGCCATGGTGGAATGATGAACTAACTGCCCTTAAGAAGAATCTGTGCAAAATGAGAAGACAGGGCAAACACTATACCGACAGGGCGGCGTACAATGAGGTACGCAACCAGTACCTGTACAAGATTAGAGCTTCCAAGTCCGCGGCATGGCGCAATTTTGCCAATGGCATAAATACGAACCCTTGGGGAAAGGCCTTCAGCTGGGCTAAGCGAGGCCCGAAGACAAGATCTGTACCCTCGACCATGATGGGAGAGGACGGAATTCACACGAAAACAATAGGGCAAACAGCTGAACTGCTCCTCAGTACGTTCTTCCCACGGGAAGAAAATAGGATAGCCTTTAGGAAGCATGGTCCGCTCCCAGAATATGGTGAGCCAGTAGACTCGGAACGAGTTAGAGCGGCCATCTGGAGAATGAAGCCGGGAAAGGCGCCAGGACTTGATGGCATTACGGCAGGCATGCTGAGGAAGGCATGGCCAATCCTAGCGGATGAGATAACTAGGCTGTTTAAGGACTGCATGAAGGATGCCACCTTCCCCCAGGAATGGAAGGATGCCAACTTGGTATTTATTCCAAAGCCAGGAAAGGCGGACATGGCGAGTGCCAAGTCTTACAGGCCGGTCAGTTTGCTACCAACACTAGCAAAGGCATTGAAGACGTTGGTTATACAGGACCTGGTGAGAGAGACTGACCTCGACAGCTACAGCCCGCAGCATGGTTTTGTGCCCGGGAGGTCGACAGTCACGGCAATGAAAGCGGTTTAAGACTGGACAGGGGCTAGCAAGTCAAGACACGTTATCGGAGTGTTCCTAGATATCACGGGTGCCTTCGACAACGTTGGGTGGCACCCGGTGCTAAAGAGACTGGACGAACTCGGGGCGTCAGTCCGCACGCTAAGGATGGTTGGAAACTACCTCGATGGACGAACAGCATCCCTCACGCTACAAGGGGAACGGTACTCCCGAACGATCGAGCGTGGATGTCCCCAGGGGTCTCAGCTTGGGCCCACCTTATGGAAAGTCGCCATGACGGGCTTAGATAGTATTAAGATGGATGCATCAGCCACAGCGATACTATATGCTGATGACATACCTCTACTCGTGGGAGCAGCAAGGCCACAAACTGCCTTCATCAGGATCGAAGGATACCTGGAAAAAATGCTGACCTGGGTAAAAGATTATGAGCTGCGCTTCTCGCCGGCAAAGACACAAATGATGTCAGTTAAGGGCGGACTGAAGCCAGGTTACGACGTGGGTTTCGGCACAGGCCCGGCAGCCCCAAGAATAGTGTCCAGCGGCACGGTCAAGTACCTAGGAGTACACCTGGACCCACGATGCAGTTACTGGGAACATGTCAAAACTTTAAGAAGCAAGTCGGAAGGACTATACGGTAGACTAAGACGGATGACATCCGCCAACTGGGGCATGGGCCGTCTGGCGGCAAAAGTAATATACGAGGCAGTATTCCTCCCGCGAATCACATACGCCGCGGAAATATGGGCGGAAGGCGGGTGCGGCCTCAAAAAGAGCATTAACACATTATGCAGCATGCAAAGGGCACCGCTGCTGGCAATAACAAGTTGCTACAGGACGGCGTCAACAAACTGCCTCTCGGCCGTGGCGGGCGTACTGCCCCTCGACTTGGAGGTTAGGAGGGTGGCGCTGAAATGTCGGCTCAGGAACGGCACGATTGACAGCCGAGAATACGAAGATGGAGTCCAGGGCCTCGTCGCGGAATGGCAGATCCGCTACGATGAGACGGACAAGGGCGAGTGGACCAAGACGATGATACCGGATCTGGCCCGGAGATGTGCATTGCCATTGAAGATGGATCATTACACGGCCCAGTTCCTCACTGGGCACGGTGACTTTAATGCGAAGTTACATGGATTTAAGCTCGTGCGAAGCGCAAATTGCGCGTGCGGTAACGGAGCAGAAACAGTGCGGCATGTACTCCTGGCGTGCACCAGGACGAGGGCATACCGAGAAGACCTGATGGCGGTCATGAGGGAAGAGCAAGTTCCATGGCCTCCCGAAAAAGGAGCTTTCCTTAGCACCCGAAGGACTTACGAAGCCCTGAGAAAGTTTAAGGAGGATGGCGTAAATGACACGGATTATGATCATGCTATGGAGGTATGGAGAAACTTTGGGTGCCAAACGCTTGGTGACTATTCTGATTTGTACCTGAAAGTGGATGTGCTGTTGCTCGCGGACGTTTTCGAAAATTTCCGCGATCTATGCATGAAAACGTACAATTTAGATCCAGCATTTTATTATACGGCCCCAGGTTTCAGCTTCGATTCCATGTTGAAGTATACATCTATAAAATTAGGACTTCTAACCGACTATGACATGCTACTATTTATAGAAAAGGGTATGTAAATTAGAAAAAAAATTAGCTTTTAAATGTTATAAAAATAAATTATATTATAGGTATACGAGGTGGATTGGTACAGGCTAGCATGCGCTATGCTAAAGCCAATAACCCAAAGGTACCTGATTATGACGAAACGCTGAGGAAATCGTGGCTTATATATCAAGATTGTAAGTATAATTTTTCAAATTTTTTTTTAAAACTTTACAGGTAACAACCTATACGGATGGGCGATGAGCCAGTACATGCCTACTGGCGGTTTTAAGTGGGTTGAAGCCAAGCTAGAAGGACTTAACAACTTGGATGATACCTCCCCCATAGGACGGATGTATGAGGTCGACGTAACGTACCCGGTAGATCTACATGATAAACATAATGATCTACCATTTTTACCCGAAAACGGAATACCTGCTGGCTCAAAAGTAAAAAAACTCATGGCGACTTTTGAGTCAAAGAAAAATTATGTCGTGCATTACCGCAGTCTCCAACAAGCCATTAAAAACGGGCTGATAGTGGATAAAGTATGTATTATTTTATACATGTTAAACATTTCAACATGATTAATTTTATTCTAGGTGCATAGAGTCCTACAATTCAACCAATCATCCTGGCTTGCTGAATTTATTAATTTAAATACAGAGATGAGGAAAAAAGCTTTGAATGATTTTGAAAAAGACTTCTTCAAGCTTATGAATAATAGTATTTTTGGTATGTATCTATATGTGTGGGTGTGTTTAATTGATTTTGACACTATCCCCGTTCAAAATTGTATAGGTAAGACTATGGAACAAGTTAGACGGAGGTTACACATGGAGCTTGTTTCGAATAATGCTAGAGTGCAAAAACTAATCAACTTGTCGACATTTAAATATGCAAAATCATATAATGAAAACTTGAGTGCAATAACATTGGAGAAAAAAATTATAAAATTCGATAAACCTATTTATGTCGGTATGTATCAAGCATGTTTATTCCCCTATTATTATTTAATAGTCATTTTTACAGGTTTAGCAGTGTTGGATATATCAAAGACATTGATGTATGATTATCACTACAATGTAATGCAGAAGCACTATGGCGATAATATCAAGCTTATGTATACTGACACGGGTAAAATTAAAACTAATATCTTGTGTTTACATAATATATTAACTAAAATCATTATTACAGATTCACTGGTTTATTTTATTCAAACCGATGATTTCTACGATGATCTTGTAAAGAATACCCATCTGCTTGGCCGTATGGATACTGCTAACTTACCACGAGACCATCCGTGCTATATTGCAGAGAGGAAAAAGGTTCCGGGTCTGTTTTCGGATGAGACTGATGGCTGTATTATGACAGAGTTTTGTGCGCTCCGTGCTAAATCTTACGCGTATAAAATCCTAGGCGAGGATGGAATTAATGTGAAGGAAAATATTTGAGCCAAAGGTATTAGGGACCATGTGGTTAAGAACCATATGACATTTGAGGGTCACCAGCGATGCCTGTTTGAAGGTAATGGGTCGGATCACGAAAATAGACATCTGAACATGTGTATACGCTCGTTCAACCACCAATTGACAACAGTCCAATCCACCAAAATAACATACAATAATTATGACGATAAGAGGGTAGTACTAGAAGACAAAATTCATACCCTAGCTCATGGACATTATACAATAGAGTAAGTTAAACTAATTATTATTATTTAAAATAATAAACTTAAATTATTTATAAATTTTATAGAGATGCAGAGTTGGCTGAAATGATGGATG